TGAAAATTTCATAAGTGCTGCTGACCTCTCTCCAGCAGCACCGAACAGGAGCGCAATAAAGGAATTCTAATGAGCCGCTCCGCCTTTTGATACTGCCGATCCAGGAGCCCGGTGCTAAATGGGGGCTGCTGTCCTCACCGTGCTGCAGGCACGGGCAGAGCAGAGCCAAGCCTGCTTGGCTCTCCTCCCGGCACAGCAGGAGCCAGCTCGCTGTCTGATACGGCCTCACCAATGCCGGCACATCAGCGGCATGCTCACCTGTGCTGTATGCATTCCCATCTGCTTGGCTGTGTGCACACCTACTGCACACTCACCTGCAAGGGCCCATGTTCTCTTGCATACGCATCTGCGCTGAGTGTTTGTGCATGCACTTAGGATGTACAGCCTGCCTGCCCTACTGTGTGCTTGTGTGTCACACACATGTGCACCAACCCTGAGCACGCTGGAGCACGGTCTCAAGTGCTCAGGAAGTGCAATAAGCTCCCTTTCTAGAACACATACGTTTGCCCGTGCACATGCTCCCACACATGCATGAGACATGCACGCAGCCTTTCGTACCTGCCCATGCACATGCGCGCACACCTGCTTGCTCACCCACATGCAGTCTCAGACTGCCTTGCTGCTCAAATCCGTGTCGACTTTTATTCCAGGCGCTTGTCTGTGTTTGGGAAGGGCATGGGGCTGCTCTGGCTTGTCCATACCCTGGTACAGGATAGCCCTAGTGTTGCAAAAGCTGCCTATGGGGAGCTGCAGATAGAAATGTGGGAATTAAGGAGTGAGAAGAGCTCAGGTGTTTCCGGGTGAGATACTTCAGGACTGTGAAGAGAATAATACTGGAGCTATTCACTGAGAAGCATCCACCTGCCTTGGTGCTAGTGAAGTGAAAAGACTTGTTTTTCCCAGGGCTGGGCCCTAAAATGAAAAGCATGCACAGGAGTTTTAAAAAAACCTCTCTCTCTGGTGCTGGGGGGTCGGGTGTGAGTGGCTTCTGGGGGGACGGCAAAGCAGAGAGAGGCTCGGTGGAGGGGGTCTGAAGCTGTTGGGTCTCTGGCTAATGTTGGAGGGGCTGGGACTCCCCGTTTATAAGCTGCAGTGCCAAGTTTGGTGGGTTGTCACATCGTCACGTTACAGGGCGCGCCGGCCATTGCAACAAACAGTGTCTTGCATCACAGACAGCGAGGTGCCTCTGCCCGAGGCAGACCCGTTGGACTGAATCCACAGCCGGCCCATTGTGGGGTCCCCGGGTAGCACACCCAGGCCCTGGTCGAAGCGCGCGGGGAATTGCACGACTCCACCCCGATGGCTGCTGCTTCTATGGGGGTGGCCCCAGTACAGCAGCCGTCCACACAAGGAGGGAGCTGCACCCGGTGGGCACTGGGGCCAAAAAGGCTAATGTAGATACAGCCCTGTTGGATGCAGGGCTCCAGGCTAGAGCCCCGGGAATGGAAATCCTTGCAGCAGTTTGTCTCAGAAAGCTCCCTAACCCCTTGGTCCCAAAAGCACCGTGCCTGGTTTGACAGGCACGGAAGCAATCATGAGCCTTTCTCGGTTTACGCCGGGACGCGACCTTCTCAGCAGCTGAAAAACAACCCCGGGCATCACGCCGCGGAGTCGCATCCCGAGCCCAGAATCGCCCAAGGCTCTCTTCTGTTTTAAGACTGGGAAGAGTTGGTCATTTTAAACTTCCAGACTGGACAAGAATAGCAAGCTGCCAATGCCCTTGATGAGCTCGGTGTCTAGGGCTCTCCTCTGCAGTGAGTTACGACACAGATGCGACTTAAGCAAAATTTCAAAGGCCATTAGGTTTGTGGCATGAGATTTTTAACCCCTTAACTGTTAAAGCATCAACTATTGGTGGGGTTTCACTTTGATATCCGCTCATTCTGAGTAATTTTCTTGGCCACGCTGTGAAGCGTACCAGTGAAGAAGGAGTGCGGTGTGGGAATAGTGTTGCTTGGCAGGTGGGGCTGAGGTGTGATGATCAGACAGGAATTATAGCACTAAATATTTGGCAGAGATTGCTATCCAATAACATCATCCACAAAGTGTATTTGACCCTAGAATGAGCTCAGAGAAATGATGCACAAGTAGCATTTGTACACGTGTGTGTGTGCACATGTGTGTGTGAAACTGCGATGAGTGACTTTACTAGAGCCTACCATGCTGCTCTGAAGTCCTGACCTGCAATTGCAAAACACCTGAAAGATGCTGAAGGCATGCAGGGCTTGTGGTATTAATGACCTACTCCAGTTCGGTTTGGGCAGATGCACAAGTCCAGGGTGCTTGTTGTAGCAGCTGGTCAAGGCCAGGGGAGCGGGCGCCCCCGCCTGCCTCCTGCACAGAGCTCTACCTCCTCCCCCCGGCCGTGGGCGCTTGGGCAGATACTCTTGGCACCCACAGCCGGAGGGAGGAGGTAGCAAAAGAGCCTCACAGCCCTGTGCTGCTTACACCAGGTTGTTAAGAAGAGACTGTGGACGGCTGCTGGGAAGGAAGAGTTTTATTGTCCAGGAGAAGGTACAGACTCCAAACAGAAAAGAAAGGGAAGGAAAAGGGGAGACAAGGACCGTCCAGCAACCCCTGTCCTCACTAAGGACCATCATCTGACTGCTTCCCACCCCTCCAACAACCCCCAGAGACACCCTCGTTATTCCTTGGGACTGCCAGCCCCAGAGACCATCCAGTCCCCCCACTCCCAGGGGCCAGGACCTACCAACACCCTGTGCCCCAGGGGCCAGAGGCGGTCAAGCAAAGCTTATGCCTCTGGCAGCCACATCTCACCCACCAGCTCCCAAGTCTGAAGACCTGGGCCTATGCAGCAGTGTCCTTCCCTTGGGCTTCCTTGGTGCTGCAGCTGGTGGTAGGACCAGCCAGACCCAGCCTGGGGGATCCCGTGGGCAGCAGGAGGGATGCACTGCACATCTCCAATGACAGCCTGACCGCGGTTTGCTCATGAATTGGCCCCAGGATCGCTGCGTGGGGTCCGAGGAGGGGGCAGCCGAGGGGAAGGTAAATAAAACAACACATTGCATCTGTCCCTCGTTACAAAGAGCTTCCATAGGAAGAAATAGAAAGAGAGCGCCTGATCTATAGTCATAGGGAGAACCGAGGTGTGTATGCCCTGTATAGAAAGCTAAACCTGCCCTGGAAGAGCCAGTTTAGCAAGGATTATTGCAATCTGGAAATGGCTTTAACCCCTCCCCTGACATCCAGCCACTCTCCAGGTCACTGGTGCTGCCAGGAGAAGATGGGCTTGAGCCAGCTTCTGCGTCACTTAGCCTGGTGTGAATCCAGAGTAACCCCATGAAAACGAACGGGGTGACACTGGATTCACTTTGCCCCCATCACAAGCAGAATCTAGCCCTTCCTTTGACCCACCCGGGGGCTCACACCCAGGCAGCTGTGTTGTGCGCAGCACTTCTCCTGTGCCCAGCGGAGAGGGGTTTCTCCGTGCCTTGTGCCGCATGTTGCCAGAAGAGGCGGTAGTTTGTTCAGCCTCGTGGTTCGTTTGCTGTGCTTTCAGACCATTTTTGCTTATCTAAAGTAATAAAAGAGTTATCAACATGGTAGAAAAATCATATTTACACCCACAAGAGACACTGGGAGCGGGGGGCCTGCTGTCCTTCCCCGTCCATTTCTATATTGCTTCTGCTTCAGTGTCCAGCTCGAGGCCTCTGACAGATCCAGTGTATTTGCCTGTTGCCTTCCCATGTCCTCAGCCCATGACAACCCGGACACTCGCCCGCTGGGGAGCACTGCAGGGATCCCCTCCTTCCTTCCTCCCAGGGACCACCGGGCTCACAGCAAGGGAGGGCTCCTTCTTGGTCTCATACCAATCAAGTGGAGCAGTCACAGCCCATTCGCAATACAGCCCCGGACAAAGCCTGGCGTGCGGCGATGGAGAGGACCCCTGAGCAGAGCCTCTGCCCAGGCTGCAGGGATTGTGCATTTGCAGCTGGGAGCATTGCAAGGAGAGATGCTGCTCCTGGACTCTCCCCAGGGCAGCTGCACCCAACGATACCCAGCTGGGCCCTGTTCGGAGGCAGGCAGGTCGGCTGTGGGAAGCTCTTGGTTTTTTAGGTCCATAGCTGAACAAATTAGAGTTTGAGAGGGATCTGTTTGGCCCTGAAGGCAACACACCACTGCTGCATGGAGACAGGGGTGCTGCCGCAGTGGGAGCCGGGTCTCTGTTCCTGACTGGCTGCAGGGTTTGCAAGCAGGAGAGGAGCAAGCTGCTCTGTTGCAATGGGGATAACCTGAGCTTGTGGCCCCAAGAAACATGCCCTCCCCTGGGCTCGAGGCACCTGCTTAGGCCTCGGGTTTCACTGCTGGTGGATTTAAGAAGTGGTCACTGTCTAGCTGGCTTTGGGGTCTCTTGGGGCCTCTCCTGCTTTCCACGGTGCCGTAACACGTGGTCAGCTTAAGTCTCCGGTGTGGTTTGATGCCACTGGAGACGGCGCCCTGAGCTCAGGCTGGGCAGAGCTGAGGGGGAGGCTGGAAGCCCTGGATACAGTCACGTGGTGTTGGCAGCAGTGGCCAGCTTCCTTTGTCCCGGGGCAGCCCATGGAGGGCTCCAGCGTCCAGCCGCATCTCCAGGCCACGCAAGGCTTTCTTCGCCTCAGCTCAGCTCAGTGCACTCACAGCGAGTCGCTATGCACCAAAGAGATTTGGCCCATGGCTCCTGCTATTGCTTTCAGTCACTGCAGGGCATAGGGAAGCACCCTGCCACATAACTGGCTTGCCTGAGCAGCTTTCCTATACAGCCCGAGAGTGGCCCATGCCGCAAGCCCCAGCCCGGCAGGGGCACAGTGGAGGAAGGGGCAGGAAGCGGCAAACTTCCACCTTCCTCTGGAGCTTGGATCCCAGGAAAGATGAGGAAAGCCACGTGGGTCTGCGGCTCTAGCGTGATGCCTCTTGCTGCAGAAGTGCCAGGCCGTGCTCACCGCTCCCCTGCCCTCCCGCCAGTGTAAGTGCTTTAGGAACGCCGGCGCCCGGGCTCCAGGTCTAGAGATCCCGCCTGCGTCCATTCGTGTTCAGCAGCTGCGACCGCATGAGCTGGATGCTGCTCAGGATCTTCTTCTGGTGGCCCATGGGGGTGATGCCCAGGCTGCGAATGTCCCTGCGAAAACAGAGGCCCCATCAGAGATGGTGCTCTCCAGCGACCGGGCACCGGGCTCCAGGCGCCCCTGGATCAGCTCGGTGCCCTGCCAGCGGGGAGGTGCCGCTGTCTCCGTTTCAGGGACTGATCGGCTGTCGTTCTCTATGGCACGCCTCGGTCCCATGACAGCCCCGGTGGGAGAGGGAAGCAGAAGGGGAAATAGCTCCTGGCAGGCTAATAGCAGGCAACAGTGATGCTCTAAAATTGGATTCCCTCTCAGTGAGGTGTCCTCAGATAGCCCCGTCAGATGGACAGACAGCCCCCTCCACCAAACAGCTTCCCTGACTGGCATCAGCTCACACTGACTTCCTTGCAGTCTGACAGTGGCCAAGCTCCTGCCGTGCGGGCTCCTGCGTTGCCCATCTCAAGCTGCTCCCTGCAGCAGGCTCTCGCCAAGCTTGCACCCCGGGTCCTTTGCTCGCGAGCCCTCCCCTTCAGTGACGGAAAGTGAGCTGCCTCCAGATTTGCCCGGCACACCAGAGCCTGTTGGTACCCAAGCCAGGGCACCCCTCTGCCCAGTGCTTCCTTGGCTTCTGGACAGAAATAAGCTCTGGTAAGATGAGGCAAGGTTGCTCCTAGCCTCTGCTCAGATGCACAGCAGTAAGGGGCTGTGGACAGAAGTCACGTGGCTTCCTATTAGGAGCCCTCCAGGACATCTCGGGGCTTGTGTGACCTTAAAAACACGGGGCTTCAGAGCCCCTTGGCTTGTTCTGTCAACTGAGTGACCGCACCAGCCCTATATTACCCACATGCCAGCCAGGCCTGACCCTCACTCTTAAGCTTGCCAGCTCTAGTGAGCACGGAGCGCAGATGGCTGCCGGCCGTGAGATGTAGGCGGGCCAGCCAGTGCAGCACGGCCTGCAGCCCTCCTGCCTTCAGGGTTATACTCACTCGATGCCCATTCGCATCACCATCCCCAGGGAGGAGTACCCAGCCATGACGAAGTTCTCCCGGTAGCGCCCCAGCCTGATGGACTCCAGCCAGTCCTCCACTGTCACACAGCGTGTGAAGTCAAAGATGCCTCTGTCGAAGGGCGTCTGGGTGAAGCTAGAAGACGAGGAGAAAAGCCATCAGCTCAGCTGCTGAGAGAGCGTGGGCTCAGGGCATGGAGTTGAGCAAAATCAGGCAAAATCAGGCAAAAGATTCCCGCGGTCGGGTTGTAGAGCTGCTGCTGGCTGCCCGATGCCCAGAGACTCGGATTCCCTCATGCAGAAAGACCCGTGACATCCTAAGTGAAGGCCTGAGCCAGCAAGGCTAGAAAGGCAGAGGCAGAGGGAGTGCACAAAGGACATGCCTGTTTGTAGTGATCCACACTGTGTGTGTGCAGATGTGCCCATATTTATTGGGTGTGCACAGCTGGGCCCCAGGTTGTGGAGATGCAAGGTGCACGCGTGTGTGCAAAGCCAGGTGTGTGAAGGGCAGGCTCCTTGTCAGCTCAGCTACTCTAGGCATTAAGTAGCCTGTTTCCAACTGCACGCTGTGTCCTGCTGGTGTTAGCCTCCCAGTAAAAGCGGTACTTAGGACCTCCCTGGGGTGTCTGGGAGAGCTAACGCAGCTCATTGTAGTTATGAAGAGGACAGCACTAGACTTGCACTTTGGCTTGGAGAGATGTTTTAGGCACGTCTCGGTAGTTATGATCTATCCCTTCATCCTTGGGCTCTGAGCAGTTGTAGCTGAGAGCCTCTCACTGGTCTGTGGTAGCTGTGAACTGTCTGATTTAGCCACAGTGTATATTCTGGCTTTGGCCTGGAGGCTCTCACAATCAATTGTGGCCACAGTTAATGAAGGAGAAACCACTGTTGCCAGATACTGGCTAGCCGAGAGGCTCCTCAGTTCTCCGCGACTATGAAAACCAGCTGAGGTGAGCTCTGTTTGGGCCAAATGACCTGGCCTGGCTCATGGAGGGTGCAGCAGAGGCCTGCCCGGCTCTTACCGGTTCACTGTAGCCGTGCATTTCAGGTTCTCTGGGTTGCGGATGAGCTTGTCCAGGATGCTGACGATCTGCGAGAAGCGGGGTCTCTCGCTGCGGTCTTTCTGCCAGCAGTCCAGCATGAGCTGGTGCAAGGCTGTGGGGCAGCCCATGGGAGCAGGCAGGCGGTAGCCCTCTTCGACGGAGTTAATGACCTGGAAGGAAGGCTTGCTCTTAGTTAGGAGCGGGCGCACCTGCGGCATTGATGCCTGGGTCCCCTGCATTCATCTCCAGAGGTCGGTGGAGCCAGCTGCCAGCTACACTGACAAATAGCTGCAGAAAGCAGGCGAGGCAGGTACTCTGCAGTGGGATGAGGGGCTCTGCTCTGTCACAGCCCTTCAGTAAAGCAAGCGACTGAAGAAAGTCAGCAAGCCAGGGACGGGATCTGCTTACGAGTAGGGACCACAGGACACAGGCAGTGGCATCAGGGTGTTTTCTGTACGTGTCCCTCTGAACACATCACTGACTAGACAGATATTTGCCCCCACCTTGCTCCAGTCCCTCCCTTCATGAGGTCCCTGCCACGGTCCCATCAACAGGACACTGGTGGCAAAGCTGACACACAAAGCAAGTCAAAGCTAAAATGCACCTTCCTCCACAACCTGCTCAGACTACGGGCTCTCACAGCAAGGGTTATCTTTTCCCCTGTTTGCACTGTATCTGAACCATGAGCCTCCTTCTCATGGGGACTTCATGCAGTCTCCCAGTACACTGGCTGGATAAATCAATTAAGAGCCATGCAGAATACTTAGCCCAGGGCTTTCTGCAACAGTTGTTTCACAGGGGCAGAGCTAAAGTGGTGGGGCCAGCGTGGCCCTAAACCAGCAGAAAGTCTTTCATGCAGAGGGGAGCGTGGCGAGAGGAGATGCCCAGTCCTGGGGTGTGGGCCCCCACTGGCAGCAATGCCTGCAGAGGTGCATCCCCGTACCAGATGCTCCAGGACAAAGCTGCACGCTGTGCACAGCTGTTCGAGAACGCAGGGAGACCCCGGGCTAGAGACACCTTGGGAGGCAGCTCTGCTGTGGGCTGTAACCAGTGTGGACCATGCAGTAATTTGAAGCGTGGCAAGACGACAGCGGCAGCCACAGCAGAGAAGGACCTGTGTGCAATGTGCAGGGGGAAGAGCTGAACCCGCATTTGCCTTCCCAGCCCTACGACATGGAGAGCTGCCCTGGGAAGCCCGGGGCAGGGGCTGGTCCAGGACATCTGCCTGGCTCACTTACGTCTCTGTTGGTCATGTTCCAGTAGGGCCGCTCGCCGTAGGCCAGCACCTCCCACATGACGATGCCGTAGCTCCACACATCGCTGGCGGAGGAAAATTTGCGGTAGGTGATGGCCTCGGGGGCTGTCCAGCGAATGGGGATCTTTCCACCCTGAAACATAAAGGAAAACCTGCCTGAAGCTGCCACCTGGCACAAAGGCCCATGGAAATTCAGGCTCCCAGAGAGCTCCAGGGCTGGCTTCTGCTCTCCATATCTCTCTCAGCCCTCTCCAAGGGTGAGAGCCTTGCCCAGGCGATGAAGATCAAACCTGCATCTGCTGAGAACACACACTAGGAACTGGAATCAGAGCAGTTCACACCTGAAATAAGCAGACCCAGGGTATGAGGGGGCTTTCTCAGTTCACTCTTGATAGTGGCCTAGGAAAGACAGTGCCTCTGCCCCTTCGAATGACACACAGACTGTTTTCTGGTTCAGTGACCAGCTACACAAGCACTGAAGGGCTTGAATATAAATTGTCTCATTACATTTCACTAGGTCTGGGAGTCCTCAAATTGGAAAGTGCATTCAGATATTCTTCCCTCCTTCAAATGATCAGCCATGTCCTCTCCTGGGCAAGACTGGACCCCATAAATGGCCAAAGGTAGGGAAGCTAGCACAGACCAGATGCCTCGTCTCCATTACATCATCCAGGCCAGGCCAGCGCAGGGTTAGCTACAAGACATGCTGGGGGGTCATCAGCTTGGACAAGCTGAGGAGGTGGCAAGCACGGTGTCAATCAGAAGACGACCACGGGCCACGCATGTGATGTGGTTGCAAAACAGATGAATGGGATCGTAGGGTGGAGCAGGCAAAACATCCCAGCCAGTATCAGTGTTGAGGTGCTGGAGAGAGATCACTGGGGATAGCAGTTCTGGCCACCCCTGTTCAGGAAATGTCCCGGGCAGGGGGTTGGACTCGATGATCTAATCGGTCCCTTCTGACCCTAAAATGTATGAAATCTATGAAATGGGAATTCCAGCTGGAACAGGGACAGGGAAGAGATATCAGTCAGATGCAGTCGGCTGTGCTCACGGGGGATGGAGCAAGATGTAACGGGCTCACTCTGGACCAGAGGAGATTCCTGCCATTCGCGCATGGGTCGTGACTCCATTTCCTTGCCCACGACTGCGTGTTTGCTCCTGTTCATAATCCCCACTACGCCATTGATTTTTTCCCCCCAAATGCTCACTGCTGACTCACGGGCAGCCTGCGGTTCACACAAACCACCAGGGCCTTTCTGCAGCACCGCAGCCTGGCCAGTTGTTCCCTGATTTGTGTTTGTGCATGTGAGGACTTGGCACTTTAGCCTTCTCGAATTCAATCCTATTTCAGACCCTTTCTCCAATGGATCAAGGTCCATAGCCTTTCCTCAATGGGGTCTGCAGCCCCACCCAGCTGGGGGGCCTCTTCAAATTTCCTTAGTGAGCCCCCACTTTCATTCTCCCCATCATGAATAAAACTATTAAACAGCATTGATATTAAACAGCACCCATCAATGCTAGATGTCATCTGTCAGTTTATGGCCCACTCCCACAGCTTTGTAAAAGCTCTCTGTAAACTCTTCTCCATTAGCTTTGGATTTGACTGCCCAGAAATATGTTGTGTCAGCGCCACACTTTGCCTTCTTGTCATTTATTCCCTGTTCCAGATCATTTGTGAATATGCTGAACAGCACAAAGCCCAGCACAGACCCATGGGGGACCCCACTGCAGCGCAGGTCCAGGGTCTGCACTGGTCGCCTTCTGCCGGAGGGAAGAAAAGCTCGCAACACTCAAGTCTCTCAGGAGGGTTACAAGAAACAGCATGCTGGTGGTCAAGAAAGCAGCTTGAAATTTCTCTTCCATTCGCTGTGAAGTCCTTAACATTGATGTGGCACTTACAGTGCTCCTTCTAGGGGCTGGGCACTCAGTATCCCCATGGGTGTGCAGGTCCTGAGGTTAGCTCCTAGCGGGGGCTGCTGGGTGCACAACGTTGTCATGATGAACACAAGCACAGGGACAGCAACGTCGTTGGCCTGCAAGTCTCAGTCGGCAGAGCCAGGTGGAGCTGAATCCACCTGGCTTGGCGACGGGTCGTCCAGAACCGGAGCTAACAGCCAGTTAACTGGTTCTAAAGATCTGGTGGAAGACCTACTAGTCCTGATATAAAGCGAGTGCTGATATAAAGCAAAGTTTCTGCATTGTGGTACACTTAAGTTGAGTAAGGGCATCTTTATAGCTGCTTGCTAGCAGTACCTGACCTATCTAGTTTTGAGCTAGCTCAGAGATATCTGCAGTACACTGCAGTCATGTACTTTAAACAACAATTCTTGAGCAGAGGTTAAATGTCCCAATCTCTGATCCCATCTCTTGAGTGAGTCTCCCTTCTGCTTCAGACAGCCCAAATACTGAGACACTGAACATAGGAGATGCCTCAGGTGATCTAAAGTTTTCTTTCGTGGTCACCCTCACACTGAATCCGGCTAAGACATCAAAAGAAACACGTCCACTGATGGCTTGAAACCCACAAAATGAATCTACTGCTCATGAGGCTTGTTCTGGTTATCTCACAGACACCATCATCAGGCTGGGTTTTGATCCTGCTGGGGAACCTTAACGGGGGTCCTGCTGATTCACCGAGACAGACGACTTCTTGTGTGACCTTGGTACAAATAAGGCCGGGCTGAGCCTCAGGGCAGAAGATACAGGGCGTTTGCTGAGCCAGCCTGGGGGAAGAGCAGCACACTGGGCTTGATCTGATCTTTGCTATCCTACTGTGGTTTTCTTTGGTAATGAAGTGAAGTCCAAAGGTAGCAATTTTAGCAAGGAAACCAACCTGTTTGCACTCGACTCTGAGAGAAGGCTGTGTAAAAAATGCAGGATTGTAGCATTAGTTAACCAAATAATTTCCTTTCAAATGATTTATAATGGTATAAAGGCATCCCTAGTTCCTGGCACTGGCACAAGGAGGCAAAGTGAGGAGAGTTGCTTGCATGTCTGATTTCTATACCTGACCGTGCTGCTGCAGCCTGGAATGAAACACGGGTCTTTGCAACCAGTACAACGAGAGAGACAGCAAGCACCAGGCCAGGCCAGCCAGGGACGTACCGTAGTCGTGTAGGCAGCATCAGGATCATCCTCGAGGATCCGTGACAGGCCGAAGTCGGACACTTTGCAGACCAGGTTGCTGTTTACGAGGATGTTGCGTGCTGCCAGGTCTCGGTGCACATAGCCCAGGTCAGCGAGGTATCTCATGCCGGCACCGATGCCTCGCAGTATGCCCACCAGCTGGATGATGTTGAACTGCCCGTCGTGTTTCTGGAGACAACACAACCTAGGCATTATTCAGGGCTTCTCGCTGGGTCTCCAGCAGGCACCGAGTCGGCTCGGCGACTTGGATTCTGCTCACGCTCCTGTGCCAGAGAGGGCGAGCTCTACCCTCGTTAACCTGACTCATTAAGCTCACCCATTCTGGTCAGGAAGACCCTGGTGTCCCTCTGTAAATCCAGACACTTGTTAGTGCATGTCTCCCCAGGCCAGGCTGAATGAAGGAGGGATTAGTGCTCCTGTCACACCTGACCCCTTCCTCCTGGGTTCCTGTACAGCAAACCCGAGTAGTCGCCCTGCCTCCTGGACTGCGATGCTCCCGGGGGAGCCAGCCGGGAAGCTTTGGAGCTAGTGTTTCCTGCAGAGGTAAGAGCTCAATCGCTGCTTTTACTCAGAGGTCACAGTGGTCAGGAGGCTGCAGAGTATAGATCAGCCTGTTCTTCCCTCTCATCAGTCACTCAGCCTTCAGGAATGTGCAGTGAATAAAAATACAGAGGTCCTTACCCGGAGAAAGGAATCCAGTGAGCCGTTCTCCATGTACTCGGTCACAATCATTACCAATTTGCCTACAGAAGACAAGAGAGGTCACGTTAATAGAGAAGTCACCTTCCTCTGGGAGCCCCTGCCCCAGCTGTGCGCAGAGAAGGACGCACGCCCCAGGCCAGCGGGGCAACCTCTGTGCTCCTGCGGCCTCGCACAGATTCAGGGAGGTCCCGTCCCAGGGCTGAGAAGGACCCACACAATTGTGTGGCTGTGGCAGGAACGCATCAAGCTGGGAGCCTCTCGACAGGCGCCATTGATGGTGCTAAGTCAGTTCCATTGTCTAAATGAAATTTGCATCCTATTACCATAATGCTTTGCATTACAATGGGCTTGTAAAAACTAAGACTTCAAATTACAATTCAGTACATACAGCCTTTAAATTCAAAAATGAATGCTAACGGGTAGCACCTCTCCTACCGCAGTATCCCCGATCCGTGGCACTGGGGTGCGGGCAGAGTGGGCTGGGGGAACGCGGCATGTCAAGCAGGTTCTGTTGCAAAGGACGCCGAGTCCTCGTTTTTCACCTCCGTGGAGTGAATGGCTAAACCTCCCCGCCCCCAACAACCAGCAGCCTCCTGCCAGTGGTTTGAGCCAGGAATAGACGGTTCTCTTCTCTAATGGAGTTGGAAGGGGAAGGAGAAAAGCAGCAGCTTGTCCTGCGAGTGACAAGCTGTCTCCCTCTGAAGATGCTAATGGGGAACGTCAAAAGGAAAGAAAGCTGCTGGGCTGAGAAGCAGGTTCCCAGAGCTGGGAGACGAGAGCCCAGCTTCAGACCAAGCTGCCGAGGCCTCCTGGCCATGTTAACGGCCAGGGGCACGTCAGAAAAATCTCCTGGGCATCAGACCCGGGCAAAGCTGGAGGAGCCGTGGCAGCATTGGGGCAAGGTTTGTCCATGCCCTCCTGCCTCCCAGCACGCATCCTGCTCCCCAACAAGGGCCCTCTAGGAATGACAGAGCAGTGCTGTGTCCTTGGCAGATGCCGTGTTGCTTGTCTGATGTGGCCGCTTGCCCCCAGGGGCATGGCCTGAGCCCTCCCCACAATGACCCGTTAGCCCAAGGATCCTGGCCGTGCTTTGCATCAGTTGTCTACATCCTGGCTGCATCCCTTAGTTTCCTCCATAGCTCCCACCAGCTGCGATATTGCCAAGACCTATCCCAAACCTTTGTGGGTGATGTAGTGTGCAGGGAGGTGGCTGCGAGGCAGGTGCATGTCTGCAGGCTGCACAGAACACCTTGCTGTTGCGTGCATTGCACAGGGGCAGCTTTGGGGAGGAAAAGAGCTAGGAAAATGCAAGGCCCGTGAGCGACGATGGCACGAGGCGGCTGGAGATGCAGAACACATCTGCAGGGAGCTCTCTGCCAGGTCTGGGATGTGAAACCTTTCCCTGAGGCACCCTGCACTCAGATCACATCCCACAATCTCCCAAGCGCCCTGCACCGCCTATGAGACTTTGTCAATTTGCTGCAAGCCAGCCACGTACTCCTCGTCACAACACCCTCCAGGTGGATGACGTTGGGGTGGTCAAACTGCGCCATGATGCTGGCCTCGCTCAGGAAGTCCCGTCTCTGCTTCTCCGTGTAACCGGCTTTCAGAGCTTTGATGGCCACAGGAATCTCCTTCTTGCCCGGCAGTTTCAGACGCCCGTAGCAGACCTCCCCAGACTCTCCTGCAAAGCGAGAGGAGACAAATCGAAGGGGCTCAGGTCCCAGCAGCACTTTGGCACTCCAGGCTGAACCGAAGCCAGCAGCCAGGAGGCCTGTTTCCTGGATGCAACAGAGAGCCTGCAGCATGGCATTACCCATCCTGGGGCCTCGTTTGTAAAGTGCTTGGGGACTGATGATGGCAGGCGTACTGGATCATTATCATCTGGGGATTTCCTATTTGACTTACAGCCCAGCAGAAGGTGGGATGGATTCCAGAGAGCAGGGCTGCAAGCGTCTTCCAGCCTGGGCCTTCCCTGACAGCTCTGGGCCCTCTCCTTCGGGAGGCTCAAGGCAGTGGAAAGGGACCCAGACTCTGTGCGGCCATAGGATATCTTGGCCCAAATCCTATATCACCCGCAGGCTTCTGAGTGCTACTTATGCATCTAAATGTAGAGAAGGAAGAGGTGCTGTCTGCCACGTAGGCAGATTTTAGATCCTGTTCTCCTGCATGACTAGACTTTTCCTTCCAAGCGTGCTCAGAAGGAACTGGCTGTGGCCACTTCTGCTTAGTGGTGATCTTATTCTGCCTTATTCACTGAATCATAGCAAAGTTGGGCTGGAAGGGACCTCCAACCCTATCTACTCTGACCCCCTGCCTGAGGCAGGATCATCCTTGCCCAAAACATCTGCAAGTCCCTGTCCAATGGATTCCTAAAATTACCCCATTAGCCCCAGCACAAGGTACAAGGCCCAAAGACATCAGGAGCCCCATAACCTGCCGTCAGTCCTGCAGCTGTGAGGGATGTTAAAATGCACCTAAGAGCACCAAGGAAGAGGGCGAGGTTGTGCCTGGAGCCCCTGAACTGTGCACACATCCTTGAAACACTGTCAGTGCAAATGCAGGCAGAGTGGCTGCCTGAGAGAAGAAGCCTCCATCCTCCTACCCAATGCCTAGTAGTCACGACACTTGCACCTCAGCTCCAGGCCACCCTCAGCCAGAGGGGTTTGAACTCCCAGGGCAGTGCCCTAACCACTGGGCTATGGACCAGGCAGGGCAATGCCTCCTGTCCAAGATGAGCCAGTGGGCTGCCAAGAGGGAAGAAGATGTAGGGTCAGAGAGGCAGCAAGGCAGAGGAAGCCTGGCACTAGGGCTCAGTGGTAGTGCCTTGAAAAGGAGTGGATTTTAGGGTCCAGTCCTTGCTGCTGCCCCCTAGGGTGTGTTTAATGGTCCCTGGATAAAACAGATGGTTGCCTGTTGCTGCCCCACAGCCACCCTCCCTGTCTTTTTTTTCCTCCAGCTAGAGACTCACGTAGAGCTACGAACTGTCAGGGTTATATTTTTGAGACCAAACTTGTGGTGCCCCTGCTGCCAGACCACCAGCCAAGCTCCCCTGATGCACGCCAGTGTGGCATCTAATGGTTTATTTCTTGTATTCATAGATTCATAGAAGTCGGGTCGGGAAGGGACCTTGTAGATCTTCAAGTCCTCCCACCTGCCCTGGGCGGGAGAGAAAACTGGGCTCAAATGACCCCAGCCAGGTAGGGTCTTTTGTGCTCAGAAACCCACCGTGCGGGTGAAGCTAAGTGAAATCTCCAGCATTTCACTTAGCCCCTTGCCTCCGCCGAGCCCCGTACACCTCTGTCATGGGATGAGATCAGGTTTCCTACGACAGGTCCGAGGGTGTGATGGACACAGAGCCAGAGACTCACCAGACCCGATGATCTTCTCGATCTTAATCCGGGAGGCCTCGATCTCTCGTGTGAATTCATGCACGGCCTGGCAGGGGTCCTCGTAGGTGTGGGGGTCCACGTAGAACTTGGACTCGGGGAACTTCACTGCTCGAATCCAAAGAGGAAAGAAACGGTGAGATCCCTCAAGCAGCAACGGCACCTGGGAGCTGGGGAGGCAGCAGGGATCCCAGGCCCAACAGTGGAGCTAGCCAGGAGAAGGAAGAGCTACTTGATGACTCTTCAGAGCAGTGCAAAGGAGATGCTCCCATCACCCAATGCTGGGGAACATCCGTAGAGATTCCCTTGTGAAAATGCAGACTTCCTCAGAAAGGCCCATGGAGTTTGGATACCCTGAGAGCCTGGGAAACCATGCAGGGACTAGAAAGACCCTCCCAGAGCCCCCCACCTTGGGCAGCAAGAGCAGCTGACCCTAAACACACCTCCATAAGCACCTGGGTCTTCCCCACTGGGCACCGGTACTTGCACCTCCCCTCTGCCAGCCTGTCACTATGCAAGCCGCAGACCCCACTGCAGACATGTACTGATGACAGTGCTCTCACAGTCTTCCCACCCAGCTGGTTTATCCAGGCTCTGAGTAACAAGGGCTTGTTGAATGCTGGCTCCCAGCAAACCACCCCTGCAGTGCTAGGAGGAAATAAATCCAGCAGAAGCTTCTGCCCCATGAATTTCTCTCAAGCCGGCGGTTCTCCATGCAGCACAGTGAGCAGAGCGGAGCTGGCCGTGCACCTACCCTGGCCGTTCTGATAGTGCATCTTCTCCTCATCCGAGTCCTGGAAGGCTTTGCTGTAACCACAGTGCCTGGCCGGGAGACACAAGAGCAAGAGGGAAGGGGCCTGTTAAACCAGCATAGGGGAGTGGAGTGCAGTGGGTTTCCGGAGAGGACCACCCTGGAGCCGGATGCAGGAGCAGGAGGTCACAGGTGGGAGCTGAGCTGGAGCTGAGATGCTCCCCATACACACTGCTGACAGCTGGGCTGCATGGAGGAAGCTCATCTCACAGCCCACCCTGCCTGCTCTCTCCCGTGCACCTCTGTACTTTGGTTTAGCTGGGGACCCTTCATGTGCATTGTCCCAGGCTAGCCACAATGGAGGTCAGAGGACAGCAGCACAAACCCCAGCACCTAACAGTGACCATCTTGGCTTCCCAGTGCACATTTCTGCAGTAGCACTGCACTCCTGGAGGGTTCACGGCAGCTCACTGCACAATCCCCCTCTTTTCTAGGACTCTCTTGCATGACAGGGACTCTAATGTCTTATCTGCCTCTCTCCACGGCCACACTGCTGCCCCCCAGCATTTGGTACTTAGCCTCCTGGAAGTGGAGAAGGAACGGTGGCCAGGGTCTCTCTCCACGTTTGTCTGCAGCTGCAGACAGGAAGAGAGTGGAGCTTCGTCCCTTTTAGACCAGCTGCATGCTCTGCCATGCTAGCTGCTGTGCAGTTGATCTCAACAAGGCTTCACTTGCTTTGCCAGGCAGAGAAGAGCTAGTTGTTGGCAGAGCGCTCGGGCCTGGGGCCACACCACCCACTGCCCCGCTTCCAGGGACAGCTGGTTTAAGCCAGAGAGAGCTCAGCCTATCGCCTACCTCTTCTTGCAGATGAGAACCACCAGCAGCATCACGAGGCCAGTTATCAGGGTCAGACATATCCAGACGATTGTCATGGTGTCGTACCGGAGAGCAACTGGAAGGGAAATATCACAAAAGTGCTAGCTAGACGGGAGCATCCAAGGGCTAGCATCTGGAGTAGGGAGCCCACCCACCCACTGGAGAACGCCTGCTGTAATATGTAATGCTTGCTTCTCCTTTCCACCTCTCCCTCCTTGCTGTCACTCACCTGGTTTCCCAGTCTCCACCTCCACGATCTGGCTGAATCTTCCACAGCCGGCAGAAGTTCGCGCCCGGACCTGGAATATGTAGCGGGTCGCTGGCTTGAGACCAGAGACAGTAGCACTGGTGCCTCTGGATTTCAATGTAGAATAACTCTGCATTTCCTTGTCCTGTTGGAGCACAAAGCAGAGATGTCATTGAGACTGCTCAGAGACCAGGAGGAAGGATGAGGGGAGCAAATGTAGTCCTTGGCTTGTAACAGTAATTACACCATGGACCGTGTATAACAAACAATAACACTGTATTAGTCCAGCGTGCTGGGACTGTTTGGGCCCAGACAAGCATATCCACAGTTACCTTCTCGTAGTACTTGATCTCGTATTCCAGGATGATGCCGTTGGGCTGGTCGGGCTCTTGCCACAGCAGCGTGACACTGTTCTGACCTGTGCTCTCCTGGCGGATCATCATCACCTGGGAGGGGGCTGCAAACAAGGCAGAACATCAGCAACTGGATTCACCCCCCCGGACAGCGTGAATCTCCCTGGACCCCGAGTGCCAACAGTTCTTTGCAACAGAAGAACGGCTCTATTATTTTTCTGCAGTCAAGAAGTGAGTGAAAGCAGAGCTGGCATTTCCTGAGGGGTGCTCTGAGTCTAACAAGGGGTGCCTTGGCTCTAAAGCATCTGAGAGCCGCTGCTCTGCAGGTCTGGCTGGGCTGCAGCACAGACTTCAAGGAAGCACTGTCCCTAACAAGTCTGATCAAGTGAGAGCAGACGGAGGGAAGCATCACATGCAACGTGGTGCACCCCAGGGGATCCTGAGCTCCCAGCTTTCTGTGCTTAGGCCCGTGGCGACATAAATCAGTGGTGTGCAACTCCTCCCCAGATGTTCCTCCTGGTTAGGAAGGATCAGCCGAAGGGCTGTTCCACACCCAGGCGTGTCCCATGAACTGCACTGGCATTACATACATGTGGGAAGCATCCAGACTCACCCTTGTACCTAGTAAGCATGAAAATACCCTAGTGAAAGGAAAGAGCGTGTCTATACTACAGCAACTGCTGTGTAGTTTAAACCTATCGGAGCTGGCCCGGGTACAGATAACAGTCAATGCCTGGCAACACAGCCGGCTGCAAACTGCAGAGGTAGGGAGATACTCAGGCAGCGAGCCTCTTGGTGATACTGCAGCTAGGCTGTTCTTGCTATCTGAATGAGGGAGATCAAGCTAGGCTACCTCCATGGTGCCTTCACAGTGTAGACATACCCCACGGCTATGCAGAAAACAGCCCAGGGAGCGGCAGCACTGCAAAACGCGGTTCGCACACAAACCATCAGCAGTGACACTGCAACCCTGGGCTGTGCTTGAACTCCACCCTGGCATTTCCAGACTCCAGAAACTATCCAGTGATAATCCCCGGTGATAACCCCTGCAGGGCTCAAGACAAAGTTGCTGAATGAGGCAAGAGGATGAGGGAAGGTGAAAGATGAAGCACTACTTGCGTGCAAGTGCAGCGACAGGCTTCTCTCTAGGCTAGACATCATTGCAAGGATGCACATTTGTCCTTTCCAACAGGAAGCCAAAGCTCTAGGTGCAGATAGGATGGAGTCAATCCTTGTGCTGCCTCCCCTGCTAGCTCCAGTGAAGATTCCTTCGACATTGTGTTGAGTCTCTGCTCTCTTGTGTATTCAACTAGACCCCGAGTCCCCGCCTTGCTCAGCGCTGGGGAGTCATCAGGTTGAAAGCTCCCCGCAGGCCAGCAAAAGATTGCTCACATTCATAGCGAGCGAGCTGTTTTGTGCCTTCAATCCCAGGCCTCCTCTCTTTCCCTGCAGGGTTCCTTCGAACCCCGCTGTCTGCCAGAGCCGTGCCGTGGAGCAGGACAGCTGGGATTTTACACAGACGCTGCTGCTAAACTCCAATTACTACCGAGGTACCTGGCCCTGCTGGTTTCACGGTGCCTGCTCAACAGTTAACTTCCAGGAGGGAAGCTACATCAGGAATAGTCCACCTCCCTCTGTGCAGCCAGCCAACACGGACATCTCCGGAGTGGCCCTCCCAATAGCACAGGAGGGATGCAGCTGATCAGTGCTGGGCCAGGGCCAGGGCCAGGGCCAGGAGGGTGCCAGGGGTCTACAGAGAAAGTTTACAACCAACTCCCTGGCTAGGGCTGGACCAGTGTGACTCCTGTGACGCCTCCAGAGCTACTCACAACTGCCTCCCTGAAAAACAGCCCTGCACTTGTCTCCAAACAGTGCTGGGTGGGTGGGAGAGGCAGGCCCCTGCCCTGGGGTGGCGCCTGGATGGACCTGCAGGCAGGTCCCATCTTCTCCAGGACCTGGGGGACTGCTGGGAAGACCTGTCTGGGATGTGAGGTTGTTTCTCAGCAGGAGATTTGAAAAAATAAGACATGCATGAGAGAGGCTTTCCCTAACAAACGCTGCCGTCACCTGCCAGCGGCCGGCACTGGTGGGAGGTGGAAAGAGAGCACTAGGCAGGGCATGAACTTCTGTCTGGCACTTTGGGATGGGAGGAGAGGGCTGGGAAGGAGCAAACCTAAAGGTTCGCGCTCCTTAGTGTCATTCATCTACACGCAAATGCCCTGTGTGCCTGTGCCCCCGGGGCGACAGGGTGCCCCCGCAGCAGGACAGATGGAGGGATAAATGGAGAGGAGTCAGCCTGCAAGGGCTGAGCGAGCTGAGAAGGATGAATCTCTTACTCGCGGAGGTGGGTGTCTGCCAACAGCAGCTCTGCTGCAACCCACACACTGCTCATGTCCCTCATGCCAGCATCACGAGGGCTAAGGAGATGCTCACAGTCCCGCTGGCCCCATCTGAAGTGGTCTGGGTTATTTCTCATGGACCCCTGTGTGGAAATTACTGCCATCTCCACGGGCAAGCCACATCTGCCCTCCAGCTCCACACATGAAGACCAGAGAGAGGTCATTAGCCCTGTCACTCTGAAGTCTAGCAGAGGTAGAGGTGCCCCTTATAGACTAACTGAACCAGAGATTTGTCAAATGAAGTAAGCAGCTGTTCAGGAAAGTTTATGCAGCTCTGATTCAGTTAGTCTACACAGTGCACCTCTGCTCTGCCCTCTGTACAAAGACCATGTGCAGGGAGACCCTGGGCTGCCTTCAGCACCAGAGCATTGGCCCTGCAGGCAACTGTTTGGCACATAATAATAACATAACAATTGCTGTGTATGTACTGGGCCAGACCCTTGGTCCACGTGGCCCAGTCTCTGGTGTCACAGGGCAGCAGAGGAGGCTGGAGGGGAGAGTGAACTGGGTCTCACCAGGTTTTTTTCCCATTTCTGTCTCTTGCAGCCTCCAGTATTTCAGGTCTAGGAAGCTCTGATGCAGAGACCATGCCCCTTGCTCCCCTGCTCAATAGTGACTGATGCCCTTTTCCTTTAAGAACGTGTCCAAGCCCTTTGTGAATCGGGCTGAACTCTCCACTTCCCCTGCATCGGGTGGCAACAAGTCCCACGGTTTAATTACGTGCTGCATGAAAAAGAACGGCCTTGGGGGTTGGACCCGATGCTCTCACGAGGTCCCTGCCAGCCCTAATGTCCATGCGATCTGTAGTGTTCATTTTAAACTGACTGCCCACTTGTTTCACATTGTGACCCCTTGTTCTTGTATTGTGAGAGGCCGTAAATAATAAATCCCTATTGACTTTTGGCTTTGCCATTTAGTATTTTGTAAACCCTTCCCCCCTCGAGTGTCTTTCCTAAACCAAGCAGGCCTGGTCTCTGTAGTCTTTCCTCACACAGAAACCCCTCCAGACTGCTCATCATCCTGGTTGCCCTGCTCCAGTTCTTCCATCTCCTTGCTGCGCTGCGGGGACCAGAACTGGGCAGTGTGCAAGGTGTGGACACACTGGATTTACAAAGGGGCACAACGCTATTGTCGGTTGTCTTTACAGTTCCCCTCCTGAGCACCCCTAGTTTTGTGCTCGTCTTTGAGGGCTGTTGGCTCTTTGGGAAGAGGTGCAACCGGAGCCGATACCAGAGGACGTGGGCCGCCATGCTGTCTGGCGACATCTGTTTCTCCTACCTGCCTGGTTTGTGGTGATGTTGGCCACTGCGAATCTCCTGGGCTCCAGGCTGAGGTCGGACACCCCGTTGATGGCTTCCACCCAGAAGGAGTAGTTCGTGTGGGCCATGAGGTTGGTGACGGTGAGGCCCCCCTGCACCAAGCTCATCTGCTGAGGGACGAAGCGGATGCCGTTGCTGCACGTCTCACACTGGCCCAGGTCCCATGGGCAATGCCTGCAGACCACGTTGTACATGATGTCGGCTCGGCCTCCCTTGTCCAGTGGCGGGCCCCACTCCAGCGTCACCGAAGTGCCGTTCACACTGGAGATCAGGTTCACGGGAGTAGAGGGGGGGCCTGGAAAGAAAGCAGAGATCCAGGCAGATGGGAAAGGGAAGGGGCTCTGGGAAGTGGCATGGTCCGAAGCCCCCCAGCCCAGGGGTGGCATGCTCTGCAACAGAGGACAGAGACCGGCAGGGCAACCAGAGGAAGGCGTGCCCTGTGCGTCCATGGGGGGAATATCACTGCAGAGATGCAGGCTGGCCAGAGGAAGACATGCTCTGAAGACAGAAAGCAGTGATTGAATGGGCAGATCTGAATGCATGGAAACTGCCTGCCTTCCCTGGCATGTCAGCAACTCACAGTTGATCTGCCGCTTCCAGAGACAGCACACGCCTGTGCAAGGGAGACAGGCTGGGCTGAACAGGAAAGTGTTCCCCTTCCTGACACGATGGAGACAAAAGTATATGCTTTAGCACTGGAGATAGGAAAATTAAACAAGAACATCCTTTCAACAGCATCATCAGCACACGCACATGCACACACACACACACACTCCCCAGCAACCAAACACATGGATGCACAGACACACACAGCCCTTCCCCAGACACACACGCCTCCTCTAGAAGCACAAGCAGTTATACAAATGCACACATCTCCCAGAAACATGCACACCACTGGGCACACAGATGTATGCTCTCACACAAGTACACACAAACACCCCCCCCGCAGAAACACACACATCTGTGGGTACAGAGACATGCACACACTCATCCCCCAGAAGCACAAATGCACAGGTATACAAAAAACACTCCCCCCACCCCCGGAACCACATATACACATCGCCACACTCAGTCATTCCTCGGGCCCACACGCCCAGGCACACAAAAATACACCCAGAAGCACACATGCACTCCTCCCACAGATGAAGAAACTCATATGGCAAAGAACCAGAGAGAGAAACTTGCCACTGACAGAGACACAGCCTGCAGGCTCTCAGAGAGCCTGAGACGCACGCGGCCAGGGATGCAGCCTGCCCACGCGGATCTACAAATACACATGCACCTGTAGCAATGCAGGCACGTGTTCACACCTCCTCTGCACAACCACCCAAGGAAAACCCCACGCAGACCCCAGGGCACCCGGCATGCAGCCTGCAAGGCCCTGTCCACACTAGGAAAAAGGCACAATAGCTAGTGTGCTCCCCAGTGCCTGCAGGCTAGGCACCCTGCAGCTGTAATGAGTGAGCTGGTTGTTCAGACATGGGGTGGGCATGCCCCCCTGCTGCCATAAGCACTTGGCAAAGCTCCCACTGACTCCAGCATGTCTGGGAATCGGTTGCTGCAGTTTTTAACCTGTTTCCACCTGGGCACCAGCACATGCATAGTCTCTTGGTGCATGGAGTGGCTCTCTCCTGCACCCCCACCCCAGTGCTGTCCCCCGGGCACATCTTTATCCAGGTCCTGGCCCCTTCATGCCCCTCTGCTGTGGGGCAGGCAGGCATCTGGCCAAAGCTCGGCTGGGTGGAGGATACTCACGGGTGCAGGCTGCCGACGGAGCGTCCTGAGCTGCCCGGTAGTAGCTGCTGTCACAGCGGCACACCTGGGCGCCTTGGCTCTCCGAGTGACTGTGCAGGGGGCACTTCGCACACAGCTGGTCGCCAGGGGCTGACTTGTAAAAGCCCAGCTGGCAGGCTGCAAAGAAAGGAAGGGGAAGGGGTGTGAGGGTAGGGCGCAGCGCATGTGCACTGGCTTGGTCAACCCCACCAACATGGAGCTGAGCAATCCCAAGGTGAGATAGTTTGGCTCCTGACTTCCCTGCTTGCTCTCTCCTCGGGGACCCTCTCTGCTGGAAACACTGAGACAGCTTCCCCTTGGGAGTGGCGAGGGGTATTGGGCTCCTGACACAGAGCTGCTCCAGGCACGTGCCTGGCCCTCTCCACTGCTGGCTGCTCCTGCCTCCCCGAGCCGTGCAGTATGGGGCAGGGGAATAGACCTAGCAGGAGCCTGGGGTAGGGCGAGATTCCTCGGCCAGCCAGGGGAACGGGGGGCTCCTTCCCTGCCGAGAGGAAGGAAGGATGGACTGGGCTGTGCTCTGCTACAGGCTTCCCCTGGTGTTTCATGTGCTGCTGGCTAGGTAATAAC